AATGACTAAATTAACAGTTCACTGTCTGGCTTTTCTTTTCTCCATGCCATGTATTACCTGGGAGTAACGCTCTCCTTTTCTTTTCCTTCCGAAGGGTGGAGTATTCCTTTCCTGGAGGGAGAGGCAGGTTTCTGCTTGTTCCGAGCTGCATGCCTAGCCTTGGAGCAACGCATTTACCTCTCTGACTGCTTCAGCTGGCTGGCTTCAGCCTCGTGCTTGATTCCTCCTGCTGCCTTTTCCCTTCTCTGCTCGTATGGAAAGTCACTGCCGTCTTTGTGCCACCCTGGGCTTGTGGTGCCTGCTCGCTGTTTTGCTTTAGAGCCTGTGCTAAAGAAGCAGCTTCTTGCACGTGACAAGCTTCCTCATGCCACCAAGCAGACTGCAGCGTAGAGACCTGGGCCAGAGCTCACACAGCGTGTACCTCACTGCAGGGCAGTATGTACAGTATAGCTGAGCCGCCTGTTTATTCCGAATAACACTGAAATGAGCCTCCAGGAGGTTAGGAGAGCCTGTCTTGAGGAGGCTTGAGGAGGTTAGGAGAGCCTTCAGCCCCAGCGCTGCTTAAGCCAACCAAGTGGCAAACTGTGCTTGCCTACATGTGTGCCCAGACTTTGCTTTTGCTGAGTAGGTAAAGTTTCCAGGGTTACCCGATAAGATTCAGTTAAATCTCTGCACGAGTTGTAATTATTGTGCTTTATCATAGTGCAAACACTTCTAGGTCCTGGAAAGTGTGCTAATATATTGTAGGAATTTTTGCATAATGCCAATGAACTAGAGAGTGTCAGTGAGGTATGTGTTAGAGCAAGGGAGATTTCTGTGCCCTGAAAAAATGACAATTTACTGTATAATTGATGAATAAATACTCTGATTTAATCAGCAGCATATCCAATTTTTTATGGGCTTTTTGTACAGTTCAGGCAACTGATACTGCAGCAGGTTTGGATTCTTACTGCAGCCTCTTTCCAACTGCAGGTACATGTCAACTTTGTATTCACACGCCGATTTTCCAGCAAAGGGGCCAAAGGAGATTAATGAAGAACTGATGAACTCCGTGAGCCATAACCCACTCCTGCTGCTCACCCCTCAGAAAGTCAAGCGCTACATTGAAGCCTTGTGGAATAAGAAGAGCTCAGGGCAACCTGTCACCTTCACGGATATCTTTGGAATGCTGATAGGTGAAACACTCATCCAAAATGTGAGTGCATTTCATATGACCTCTGGAGTTGTGAAATTATTGTGTAATAGTGTCTGTGGACTTTTTTTTGATGACCTTGGTTACATTTTACCCATCCCATTTAGCAATAGGAATATTCAAATTTACATTTAAACAATTACATTTACATTACAATTGCATACATTACTACGTAAGGAAGGTGGAAAATGCCTTCCCCTGGGATGCTTATCTGAGTGGTTCTCGTTCCTGTAAGAGGAAGGAAAATGCTGTGTGTTCATATGGAGTGAAAATGAGCTCAGCCACTGGATGCTTGCAGCATGCTACAATCATGGAGTATCATCCATGAAAATTACCACTTACACAATTAAAAAAAAAAAAAACTTTCCCAGATGTTGTAACCCCTTTAAGTATATTTTGTTATAAGAAAAGCATTTGCTTAACAAGATATTAATACCAAGGTGAAAAATCAGTAAGACCACATCTCTATTATGTTTTTTTCTGCAAATCACAGAATGCTTAAGGTTGGAAGGGACCTCTAGAGATCATCTAGTCCAACCCTCCTGCATAAGCAGGGACCCCCATGCATAATACCTTGGTTCATAGAATACTTCCTTCACCCCTTGACCGAAGAGTTTTTAATGGGCAGAATCAAATGTCACAAACCATTTTTTTCCTTTTTTTTTGTTGTTACATTTTATTATCCACAATTCCTACTCGAATTGGGTACAAACTGTCAAGTGCAAGTGGTTCAGGCAAATAGAATTTGCCTTTGATCTTACTGGAATTGCAATGTGTTAATAGGTTTATATACTTGCAGAGATCATGAGTACACATTTCCATTAAGTTTTTAACACCATAAAATACTGAAAAACAGGAAAGCAACTTTTAATAGGTAAGTTAGAGGGTGAGTTACCAAAGTGCAGATGTGTTAATGATCCTGTGTCTATGACTAGAAGTCCTTATTCACTAAGGAGTTAAATCAGTCCCCAGATGTTTTAGCTTAATGCAGAACCTGATGCAGTCCATGAAGAAATGGAAATCACCGAGGCTCTTGGTTGTTCATAGATAATATTTCCTACTATAATTATATGGTAGTGTTTTTCAATTGTTTTTAATTTACAGGCTCCAGAGTATATTCTGGAGGAGTTGCAGCCTATTAGTAGTCTGCCTGCCTCTCTTAGTTATCTTTACTGACTTAAGAGGAGCATCATAGATTAAAAATTGCATGATCCTGGATGGTGGCTCTGTCTGCAAGAATGTTTTTCCAAGTTTCAGTGCATGTCCTCTACAGCAGCAGGGGAAAAGCGCTTGCTTTGTCCAACAGCACAGCTTTCATTTTCGTCATCTTACCTTGGATTGCATAAGTTACAATTACTTCATCTTCCTACAAACTCTTCTCTGCCCCCTTCCCTCCCAAACAATGTTGTTTGCAAAACTGTCCATCTCGGATGTGAAGAACAGATCAGTGCATGTGACAGGAGAACATCCAGGCTCTAGACACCTATGACTTCGGTTCCCTTGGGTTGGCATTTCCTGTGCAAGTTGAAGGTGTTCAGGCAGAACTTCTTTCTTTCCTCACAGAGAATGGACACCACTTTGAGCAAAATGAAGGAGAAAATCAATGAAGCTCAGTGTGCTCTCCCACTCTTTACATGTCTCCATGTCAAACCTGATGTCTCGGAGCTTATGTTTGCAGGTATGTTTTTGATCTGTGTCTTCTTGAGCCACTTGTGAAAAAAGTACCTGGCTGGAAAAAGGCCTCAGTACTTCTGAGAATAATTGCATTCCACAACTTGAGTACACTTAGAAATTGCTAGTCCCATTGCAAGAGTAATGAAGTAATTTGGCATGAAAGTAAACATTCTTTAGGTTTTAATAACATTGTCAATGCTATGAATTATAAATATAGGTTTTATCTAATGCATATTTTTCAATATAATATTTATATAATAAATATATCAAATATAAAAATATATGATTTTGGAACAATTAGACCAATTGGTCTAATAAAAGTTATTGCCCTTGTTGATGGATCTTGATTTTTCCTGTTTCTGACACCATTGTCTTTATCATCATGTGTGCGAGATCCTGGTTGTTTCTCTTGTTAGCTTTTCTCTTCCTTCTAGAATAGACAAAACAGCGGTCCCATGTGAAATATATCGCAAGTTTTGAGCAGAAATGCTTATACTTTCTTACTAGATTAATAGATAGGGGTAAAATGTTTCATGTTGTTTCATGTTGAAATGCATGAATTTTATCAGATAACATTCCTCCCTTCCAGGAGCGATGGTGCAAGATTTTGTGCAGCTGCTAATAGCTTTCATGCTCCAGGCTCTGCATGTTTGCACTACCAATAGTGTTTCTGACCCTGGTGGTGCTGGCTGTACCCAAAATTTCAGCAATCATCATAACTGAACATAATTACTGTGATTTATTTCAAGAGAGGTCTTGGGTTTTTTTTCTTTAATAAGACATTTTCTGATGTTAAAAAGGGGAGTGGAATTTAATGTTTGACTTTGTTATTGCCATGTTTCTGTCCCCCTAACAGTTTAACTCACCAGCTCTGTCAGAACAGCCAAAATCAGGATCTGGGGCAGCCAAATCTATCTGCACTTGGTATGTGCTGGATTAAGCCACAGCTGAAATGCTAATCCAATTTATGGCAACAGAAACACCTTGAAAATATACCTGGAAGGGAGGCTTAGCAATTTATTTTTCCTCTTGGAATGGGTTTCTGCTCTGTTTCTGCCCTTCAAGGAGAAGAGACAGATTCGTGCTAGTGCTGCCCATTGAAATAGCTCAGGTCTCTAGGAGTTGGAGGAATGACAGACACTAAATATAGAGGTCTTTGATTGTAAGACATAAATCAGCTTGTTTCCTGAAGTGGAGGATCTGAGTTGAGAACTTGTCTTCCTTTATGCAAGTATGAAAATGAAAATTGAATACCGCAGGCTAAATTAACTCTGTTCCTAAATTTAGTATCGCTCTTAAAAGCATGGTTTGGAAATAGGCCTGAAAATTAGATATTGAAAGTCCTTAAAGGGAAATTCATTTAAATTCCTGATCCGGGTCTCTAAAGGAATTTCCCTCCATGCCAATAACTGTGAAGTTTGTGGGTGGTCTATTCAGAAAAAGGGATGTTGTATTTGACTTGGATTAGATAAGTGTTGCCCCACAAAGCAAAACGAAACTCGCTGGTCATGATCAAGTCCTGCCTTTCCATGATGAGTTGTTAACCTTATTGTTCACATTTTACAGAACTATTTTGGGCCTCTTATGACTTGTCATTTTTCAGAGATGTTTCTTGTGCCTTTCTATTATTTATGACTTACTTATAAAGTAAGTCAGATCGATCACTGCTAAAACATTGGAAGATAAAATAGGTGAAGAATTAAAAAATTTGGAGTTTTTTTTAGTTTTTCATAGCTCTCTTTTTGAAGTCCATTCTGTGTTGTGAGCAACTCTAGTTGCTCCGTAAAAGCATTCAAAAGCAGCTAAAATCCACTTGATGTGACAAACGATCACACTGAAATATGAGAGGGAAACCCAGAGTCATTTTGGTTGTTTCTTATTCACCTTCTTTTCTTACAATCTTACAATTTTTCCACAGAGGTCTGTTACAGTAAGAGAAGATGAGGCTTCCTTCTTTACTTTGACATCAGACTTTGTTTAAGATCAGAGTTTTGCTTCTGCATAACCTAAAAGAGATTTCCATAAACTCACTGGATATTTAGTTTGTTATTTTGCTAAAATTTCTTTCCTTGGACAAAGGTTGCCATTGGTTTAAGTGTGTTTGTTCTCTGCTCCTATTGCAGACCTTCTACAGCCTGAGATTGCCAAGTAAACTCTTCTTAATTCCTTTTTTGCAGATTGGGTGGAGTTCAGTCCATATGAGATTGGTATGGCAAAATATGGTACTTTTATGTCTCCTGATCTGTTTGGAAGTAAATTTTTTATGGGGACAGTAGTGAAAAAATACAATGAAAATCCTTTGCATTTCTTAATGGGTGAGTATATGTTAGGAAGGACCTATTAAAATCAGTTTCAATATTCTGTTGAAAAGTGCTTTTAAATACAATCACAAAAACTTTGGAACAACTAGAGCTCTTGCTCTTAATTTGTTGGAAGACTTCCATTGTTTCCAATGGATGTCACAGCTATGAATGGATATTTCATGATTTTGGGCAACTGGTGTGTATACTTCAGTTCCAAAATGTTCCAAAATCCATATTTACAGAAGGTTATTCAAATTCTAAGTTATTACTTAGAGTGCCATATATGTGTTGTTTGTTTGTTTGTTTGTTTGTTTTCTTCTACCAGCCTCCATTCAGTGTTTATTTCTTGCCTTTCAGGTGTCTGGGGCAGTGCATTTTCTATATTATTTAACAGAGTGCTTGGAGTCACTAATTCTCAAAACAAAGGACCCACCATGGAGGAAGAATTAGGTAATCTTGGTGAATAATTGTACAGTCTTGGTGAATAATTGTCCTGCTAAGCACAGCAGCTGCCAGCAAGATGCCGTGAACTTTCACGCGGTGCCTGTGGCAGGGTGGCAGTCGGCTGGTAGTCATCTCTGGAGGGCCTAATTCCGGCACTAATTGCTGATATCACCAGATGCCAGTGAAGTCAGGGGAAGGGAATCGCTCACTTCCTTCTCTTTCTTTCACTTTTCTTTCTGATTCATGTAAGAGGAACCAAAAGTGATCTCCATATAACTACCAACTCTTTGCCTAACAGCAAGTTAGGATTCCAACCCCCTTTTCCATGCCATTATGCTAGCTTTTGGAGCTCAAAAGCTGACAAATACTTGATAATTGTTTGTATAATGTCTTGATACTGGATTGGATTAATCATGGGATTAGTCAAGTGAAAACAAAGCTTCTCTTTTCTTGGTTGTTAGATCTGTTCCGTGCTAACCACAAGTCATCTGTTGATATCTGATGACTCCTTGGCTTCTTGCTGTAAGAATTTCTGTTCCATTTCTAATGCTCAAAAGTCAAAGAAACTTGTAAGGGAGAGCTGTAACTTGCTTGGGATTGGCCTTATTGATTTTTTTTGAAATGCATTTTTTTTTCATTTTAGAATGCATTTGATAGCAAAACAGTTTTTCCAAGCTGACAGGGAGGCTTTGCAGGGAAATACAATTAAATCAGTAATTAAATTGTACTGAATGTCCATTTCCTGCCCTGACAGTGCGTAGAGAGAATGTACACTGAGTTCGTTTAAAAACAAACAAACAAAATCCCACACTCAGCTGTCTCTTTCTGCTAATGTACTATTATGGAGACCTGAATCCTAAGGTTCACATATCTGAATATATTTCATGAGCGTTAATGCCTTCTAATAGGGAATATGTTTGATTAATATTGATTGTTAGCAGAAATGTCTTACTGCTTTTTTTAAGATGCTGGGAGACAGAATGTTATGTCCCACCTCTGGCTAAAATCTCTATTAATTCAGTATATAATTTAAAACATATTCTCTAAAATGGGAGTGGATATGAAAATACTGATGAAACTTGAACCACAACCTACTAGCATAGCTGTAAACCTCCCAACAAAACGGGAACTTCTCCCCATGAAAACTTCCAGTCAATGGCAAAATACCAGTGGATGGCAGAAAAAACAACAGCTTTGCACAGCATATATAATCAGGGAATAACTTGGCATGGAATTTCCTTTAAAACTTTGCTGCATATTTTATACATAGGTGCTTCTTTGTATGAATTATCAGAAATACTTAAAGAAAATAACCTTACCAGTCCTTAGTACATTTTTCCATGAATTCACTTCCATTCCAAACCTTGCCTGAGAGTGGAATACTCTGCTATTGCTGTGCTCATTTTGACTTTGAAGTAATTGCTCGAGATGGTATTGACCCATTTCAGCCCGATTTTGTGCTTATTATGGAAGCACAGCTTTTAATCGTAACGAAATGCAGATTTTTTTTCCAGAAGTACATTCATTTTTTTTCCCTCTCACTTAATGCTATGAAGTGAAAGCAGTTGTCCGTTCTACCTAACTGCTTTGACTTTTATTTTTCGCACATATTCCAATGAAATGTTCATAACCACTTCTATAACCATCTCAGCTAGTGTTTTTCTCACTATTCTTAGGTGTACAAGCTCTAGATGTGCATTGGGTTAAACATTACTCTTTTTTTCCCAAATTTGCGCTGCAGGTGAACAAGTCTGTTGTCTTCCTTGTTCAATGGGATTTTCTCAGAGGACATCAGCTGTACATCTAAACTTTAATCACTGAGAGTAAAATGTGTGAGATAGGTGCTACAGGAGCGAGGGATATGTGCTGATTTAGGCTTTCCTTTGGTTTTCTTGGCCCTTTTGTTAAGCTGTGACAACTCCGAATAAAGTTGATATGTTCCGAGTATGTGTGTCCACAGACAGTTCCAGTCTCTTCAGCTCGCTATTCCCCTCTGAAGACTAGGATTGTTTTATTCCTCAATTGTTTTGACAATCTTAACTATACTCCCATTTAGCCCTAAGCAGATTAAAGTCTTTTTTTATTTCTTTCACCAGAGAATATTAGGCTAAAGCACCTGGTGAGCAATGACAGTTCAGACAGTGAAGATGAATCACAGCATCCAAAAGGTAAGGAAATCCCCATGTTTTATTTTAAAATTTACTTTTCTCTTCTTGCTGTCTCATAGCATATTTATTGATTATTAGCCAAATCCCATCTTGCTTAGTCTTACCAAAGATCTCATTCAGCTCTGCTGTCATTTATGCCATGGGTAAAAATCCGGTGTCCAGATCTTAAAGGATCCATTGGCTCAGCAAAATGGAGAAATGTTGAAGAGGAGACATCAGCAAGGTCTTCAGGCTGTCTTCACATGATTCTCATGCAAATCAGCGCTGGCATCGGTGTGACAGGACTCCCCAGGGCTCTGCAGTTTCATACACATGCAAAATTACACGTGACGAGCCACTTTTCTCATACAGACATGTCCGACTCGTTAGTAGCCCAGCAAAATAACCATTATTTTCAAGGGTCCTTGATCAAATATTTACTTGAGAATGGTTTACTTTGTGTTTCTAGCATGCACAAATATCTGCTAGCACCTGTACAAATGACACCTGATACAGGAAATTCTTAGCTTTCAAAAAATACCCAACTCCAATTTCCCAGAAGAGGCATAAGCACGTGTGGGATGTTTGTCTGTGGGAATACAACATTGTATGGGAAATCCTGCTTAGGTACCTAAATCTCTTGGGGTGCGTGATAGTGTCTTTGGCTCATTCTAATAATATTTCCCATGTTTGTTATTCCTTGGCCAAGGGTGATTATTTCACCTGAAAAAAACGACATTCTTTGCTTCAGTTGATAAAAGCAAAGGAATGCACCTTCCTTGTAATTTTTAATCCTACAGGAGTAAAAGAAAATCCTGCAAAATCAGTGAATTGTGTAACTAGTTCAGCAGCCTGGTAACTTCTTCATTCCCTCTTCTTTGTAAAATAGGAGAGAAAGAGTGATACTGCTTTGCCAATTCCCTGGTGGTACATAACCACCATGAAACATTAAATATAAATACGTGATTTGGAAGCACTTGGTAATATCTCTCACTTCTACTTGATATGTATGCACAGATGATGTACCCGAAACTTTGTGGTGTTTGATGCTTTTCTTTCTTTCTCCCTCTCTGTGTGTTCAGAAGCTGCTTTATATACATATATATTTATGCAGAGCAGTTACTTTAAGAGCCTAGATTAGAGGCACATTTCAGCAGTGAATTGTACTTTTTAGTTTACCAAAACCAGGTATTTGTTGTACCCTAAGTTTGCTGAAAGGTTATTGTCAGTTTAAAAATCCTCTGCCTGAATTTCTCATTTAGGCAGATACTGTACAATTTAACGTTTCATTGACTATCTCTAACTTCATGCGTAGCCCAGAACGTCTCTGTGAAGATACATGTCCATGTTGCTCTTGTTATCCAGACTAGCTAAAGCAGATCACCTAGCACTGTCCCGCTTTGTTTTCCTGTGTGGTCACATCCACATTCCTGTCCTGCAAATGAGAAGTATCACTGGCCCATGAAGGTGTCAGAGAAC